TCATGGCGCGTGATGGTAAAATGATTGTTGTTGTTGTTGTTGTTGTTGTTGTTGTTGTTGTTGTTGTTGTTGTAATTGTAGTAATTGTTGTTTTTTGTTTGTTGTTTCTTGTTTATTGTCGTTCTTCCTGAAGGGCGACGCCACGTGTTTTGTTGAATGTTAATTACTAAACAATTATTATTGTTGGGTCCTCCCCAGGCGCGTTGACGCTCTCGCCTCGGCGCCGGCTACATTTTCATAGAAAATGAGGCTCACGCTCGAGCGGCTTGGGGGGGCGCCAAAACCGGGCCCCAAACAACACTAACGCTCCCGCTCGAGACTTCCTCCTTTTTGGCTCTGGGCCGGTGCTCTTGCTCGCCGCCGAAAGCCGCCGTCCCAACAAAACCAGCGCTACCGCTCGAGACTTCCTCCCGTTTTACCTTGGACTGGCGCGCTACCTTTGCCTCTCAGCGCCGCCCCCAACAACAACAACAACGCTCCCGCTTCAGGCTTCCTCCCATTTTAACTCAAGGCGGTGTTCCTCCTCGCCGCCGAAAATCGCCGTCCGGACAAAACACGCGCTCCCGCTCGAGACTTCCTCCCGTTTTACGCTGGATACTCTCTTTTGAATTGGCGCCGCTTCCAGCAATGACAACGCTCCCGCTCGAGGCTTCGTCGCTTTATCCTCAGGACGGTGCTGTTCCTCGCTTCCGACCGCCCCCGTCTCGACAAAACCACGGCTCCCGCTCGAGACTTTCTCCCTTCTTACTCAACGCGGTGTTCCTCCTCGCCGCCGACAACCGCCGTCCCAACGAAACCAGCGTTTCAGCTCGAGACTTCGCTTTGTTTTACGCTGGGCTAGCGCCCTGTTCTCTTCAGCATTGGCGCCGCTCCCAGCAACAACAGCGGACCTGCTCGAGACTTTTTCCCTTTCCATTCAGGGCCAGGTCCTTGCGTCGCCGCCGACAGCCCCCATCCCCACCAACGCAATCCTGTTGCTAGATACTTCCTTGTGCTTTACCTTTGGCTGGGGCTCCACTGGCGGTCTCGCATCGGCGCAGCAAGGCGCGGGCATGCGTTTACGAGGCGGGATATGTTAAAATTCCTTGGAAGAGGTGTTTGCAAAGCCTCATTGGGCGGGCGATCTGGGAATGGGAATAACGGACCCCGCTATAGAACAATAGTCCTATATGAAGGGGATGGTTACCATGATGGTCGCATGCTTCGTGTGCAAACATCGCGCATGAGGGTCAACTGAATGTTGTTGTTATTGTTGTTGAACTCTCGCTTCTGAATAATAATTATTGCTGATCCCCCCTCACCGGTGCATGCTGCTTTTTCTCAATCAAAGTGTGCCCCTCGACGCTCGCACCCTGTTTTTTTGACAGGGAAAGTCTTGGTGCTCAAACTGGGCTCCCACCCCCCCGGATTACAACAACAATGGCTCCCGCCAGCGACTTCCTCCACATTTGCTCAGGACCCCCGCTCCTGAGACTTCCTTACAATTTACTCAGGATCGGTGCTCCCGCCTGTGACGTCCTCGCATTTTAGTCAGGACCCCCGCTCCCACCTGAGACTTCCTCACAATTTACTCAGGAACGGCGCTCCCGCCTCAGACTTCCTCGCAATTGCATAAAGACTTCCTCGCAATTTAATCCAGACCCCCGCTCCCGCCAGATATCCCTTCACATTTTATTCAAGAGTTGCGCTCTCGCCTGTGACTTCCATGCGATTTATTCAATAATCGCGCTTTCGACGCTCAGGAAACACGCTGCGCCAAGGACGCCGTTACAATTTACTTAATAATCGTGCTCTCGCCATACTCAAGCATCCCGTTTGAAGGTCCCACCCACCCGACCCGCCCGTCAGGGGATCGCCCGCCTGTCTTTAGCTCCCGCCCGAGACTTCCTTCAGGAACGGCGCTTTCGCCTAGCATTTCCTCGAACGTTCACGCTCTTACCTTCCTGCTCCTCCTCCCTCTTCCTCCTCCCTCCTCCATCCTCTCCTCCCGTCTCTCTCCTTCCTCTCTTCCCTCATCCTTATGCCTCTCTGCCCTATCCCCTCTTCCTCCTCTCCCTCCTCCCTTCTCCTTCCCCTCTCCTGCCTCCTCCCTCCTTTTTTTTTTGTTCTCTCTCTCTCTCTCTCTCTCTTTCCCCTCTCTCTCTCTCTCTCTCTTTTTTTATTTTTTTTTTCTCTCTCTCTCTCTCTCTCTCTCTCTCATATATATATATATATAGATTGATTCCTCTCTCTCTCTGCCTCTAATCAACCGCCCCCCTCTTCGCTCCTTCTCTCCTGGCGTTTTCCCTCTTCCTTCGTCCCTCCCCCTCCGTTCCTCCCACTCTCCCTCGTTCTCCCCCTCCTCTTTTTGCAGGGTCCACACCAGTTCCAATGGCGGGCACATGTACGCCCACGAAGGATTGTCCGCCCGTTCAGGTTTGCCCGCCTGTCAAAGCCCGTCGCCCCCCGCAAAGAGGAATAATCCCCCCAAGGAAAGTGTTACCGAAGACAAGCATGGCGGGTATCGAGGGTGTGGGGAACTCGTTTTGAGTGACACGCGGGCAAGTCAGAGCGAACAGTCTTAGTTTTGTTGTTGTTGTTGTTGTTGTTGTTGTTGTTGTTGTTGAACATTATTAATTCCAAAGAATAATTATTGTTGGGCCCCCTGGTGCACGCCCCCCCCGCCGCGCCTAGGCCGCAGCTACATTTTCATCATTTTCGTGAGGAAGCCTCAGGTAATTCGATGTGATCAAGATCCGGTTGTTTTGTTCCCCCCCGCTTTCCCTTGCAAAAAACACTATAACATGAAATTTCTTGTTCAAATGTAATCAAATTTCAAGAATCCCTTGCAAAAAATAAGGTAAAGTGGACATTCGCGCGTGCAAGACGAAATCCTTCCAAAAGCTTAGTGTTCGGAGCGATTTCAACATAAAAACATCAAAAAACCAATGGTTTTTCAACAAAAAAAATGTCAAAATCTCATCCCGCGCGCTCTTGCGGATTCGTAGGAAACCCAACTCTTTTTCAACATTTCTGTCAAACGGGCTTTTGCGAGCAACTTTTTTCGAACTTCTGCGACAACGGTTGCGCACCTGCCAGGGCCATCATCCCTGTCAAATAATACCATGCGGGACAGATTCGTTTTTTCTTCGCGCGCGCACGCCGAAATCTCCAAAAACCATTGGGTTCTTAAGAATTTTACCACCGCGCATCATAAAATCACACGAATCGCACCGTAGGTCCTCGAAAAACAGCTGCACGACTTTTCAAAATTTCCACCCGCGCGCGCTGTCCGAATCCTAGTTCTGTGGGTGTGTACCAAGTTCTGTGGGTGTGTACCCCACGCCAGTGTAGTAGCCACGGTCGTCCGCACGCCACGAAGTGAAGTGTCCCAACGTCATAGGGCGGGAAGCTGGGTTTGGGTGGTCGCGAAGAGTCGTTTGGATATTTGGTAGAGCTTGTAATGCCCCCCCACGAAGTGGGGGTATTGCCTGGTGTCGTATGAAAACCCTGGCACTGGGGAGAACACCACGCGTTCGGGTAAAATGATTGTTGTTGTTGTTGTTGTTGTTGTTGTTGTTGTTGTTGTTGTTGTTGTTGTTTTGTTTGGCGTCGGATCTCAGGGCTGAGCAAGGGTGGCCTCTGCGTTGGAGCGCGGCTTGCCAGCCGCCGCGAGCGGTGTGCCGGCAGCGGCCCGCGTGCCTGGGCCTGGCGCGCCCCCCCCCCGAGAGCCGCGCACCCCACCCCTGCGCAAGGCCGCTCCTGCGCGTGCAGGGCCGGGCCCGGGCCAGAGGAGCATCCCTCGAGAGCACGAGACGGATGGGGCCCTGGGACACACAAGTAAATACACACAAGTAAAAAAAGGATTCCCCATATTTTCCCATAGTTTCCGGGTTGACGTCTTCCCCCCCACTGCCCATATTTTCCAATATTTTCTGGGGAATCGACGACTAATTGTGTCTGTGTGTTTCCTCTCCTCCTAGGAGACCCTCCGTCGGCCAAAACGAGCAGAGCATCCCCAAAGGCACCCCTCCTCCTGGAGGCACGGGAACCTCCAACGAGCACGTAGAACACATATGTTGGGGTACTGTCTCCCCGAACCGGCCTCGATCTGGTGCCTCGGTCCGACTGTAGCCGATGTGAGTCGGCCTCCCCAGCTTGAGGGATGAAAAATGACCCTACCCTGGGTTACAAGTGCGTGGTCTGTAAACCTCCTGGGAACCCCCAAAAGCCTAGAGCCGCCAGGACGCGGCACGTCACGCAAGGTTTACCCTGTCAGCCCACAGGAGTTTCAGCGCACAGCGCCTCGTGAACCAGGGTAGGGGCGTCTTTTATGCCCTTGACCAGCGGCCTTCTCCGCGTTCAGGCCAGCGGGGTGCCACGCAAGGGGGGCCGGGCCGACACCCAGGCGTCGTGACAGCTCCACGGCAGGCCTCCGTGCCCCCGCCTCGGGCCCCCTCCGGGGCCCTCGCGGAGAGCGACCCCGCGGGAGGACGCGCCCGTGCAGCGACGGGGCCGGGGCCCGCCCGAGGTCGTGCTCCTTCGCGTCGTCGGGATCTGTTGCGAGGCTGTATCTCTGAAGGGGCCCTGGGACACACAAATAAATACACACAAATAGCAGGATTCCCCATGTTTTCCCATGTTTTCTGGCTTTCTGTTTCCCCCCCCACTTCCCGTATTTTCCAATATTTTCCCGGGAGTCGACGATTAATTGTGTCTGTTTTTTTTTTCCCCCCTTCTGAATCTCTGGCGGGCCGCCAACCCTGGGCTGGGTGCCGCGCGGCTCGAGCCATGGCGTGCGGCATGAACCGGGCAGCGCGCCGCGAGGGGGGAGGGGGGGGGGAGGAATGGAGGGAGAGGAACGGGAGCAGACGCCAGGAGGGACCTGCACTGCCTGCTCCTCCCTCGCCCTCCGCACTCCGCACTCCGCCTCCTCCGCGCTTCATCTCCTCCCCTCTCTCTCCCCCGAATGCCGAGCCCGAGCGAGCATCAAGGCAGGAAGCGGCCCCCCCTGCCCGCGCAATCCTCGGCCACGCCCGCGCGCGTGTACAGCATGGCCGCGAAGAAGACCCCGCCGGCCGACAGGACCGCCGGCGCAAGGCCGAGGTGCGTGATGAGGGCCCCCCCGGCGGCGGGCCCGATCACCTTCCCCACGCTGAACGCGGCGCCTGCGGTCGCGCCGACGCGGGCGCGGTTCAGCGGCGTGCTGAGGTCTGTAACGGCCATAGGCCGGGTGTTGCCCGAGGTGCCCCAGGCCCAGGCGGTGCCCTCCGGGACTGCCTGGGGTGGCCCAGATGGCCTCCAGAGCAACCCCGCGAGGCCTGGAGGGCCCCCAGGGCCTCCAGCTGCTGGGGGGCACCCTGGGCCGGGACCACCTCTGGCAACACCCGGTGTGGAGCAGCCGCTGGCCAGCGCCGAAACGCCCAGCCCGGAGCCCAGCCTGGCCACGAGCAGGGCCGGGAGGCACCCGGAGGCGCCCGCGCCGACCAGCCCGAAGCCCTGCAGGCACAGGCCGCCCAGCATCAGCGGCCGGCGGCCGAG